AAGTCTCACACTCAGTCTTTCTCTCATTTCAGTTTGATTGTTGACAAACTGAACGGTTTGTATTACAGTCTAGTCCAACTTAACTGAATCAACCATCTGGTACAATTATAGCTATTCTGAACTATGCAGTTTATGAAAACTATGCAGCCCCTTCAGCAACAGAAGAATTTGAAAGTAAATTAAAACAAAATATAATTTTACATTAAATAAAAAAGTTTTAAACTTAATTAAAATAAAACAAAACATGTTTATTGCTGCCAAAAAAAATGTTAAACACATTTGGACAGTGAAGGAATGTCAGGATTCTTGCTCTGAAGTCAGAGCATGTTCCAGTCCACAAACCTTTTTGTAACAAAATATCGATTTCTGCTGTCCCTGTATCGATACATTATTAGCAAACAAAATATCACGATGCTACACAGTATCAATTTTTTTCTTCCACCCCTAACGTCCTGTGAGCTGAAGCAGAGCTCTTGTATTGTCCTGCTCTGAACTCTCTGTTGAGTTCTGCTGTAATTTCTTTTCACCCGTCTCTGCTCTGTTTGTTCCCTCTCCTGTGCAACATTAGCATCTCAGCGCTGTTTCACCATTATAACTTCACGCACTACAACCTGGTTTACCTCTTATCTGTAGTTATTTTTATTTAATTTAATAACTGTACAGTACTCTGTTTATAGTAACCATTGTCCTTAATGTAAATATGTAAGAAAAATTGTGTATGTTTCTGTTCTGTGTACTGTTTGTTTGTATATTTGTCTTTCTGGCTTTGTTGCCAAGAAGGCAACAAAGAAGGTAACAACGAAGGCAACAACGAAGGCAACAACGAAGGCAACAACGAAGGCAACAACGAACTTATAGAATAGAAGAATCCTTTAATTGTCCCTTGCGGGACAATTAAAGGATTCTTCTATTCTATAAGTTTAAGTCATGGATAAATTCCACTGTGGACTGTTTTACCTTAGTTTCTGCCAGGTGTTGTTCAGGTTTGCTATTCGTCCACCTTTGATGCATTTGTGGGTTCAATATTAACACATTTTAAAAATAGTCTTTTAACAACAGGACAAAATTGGTGTTTTTTCTACTTTAGCGTGTAAACAACATAAAGCATCAGACACGTGACTCAGAAACTGATTCTAAGGTTTCCATTTTTGTTTTGGGTACTTTCCACACATATACAAAACTGAAAACATCGCATTGTTTTAGATTCCTCAGAGAAGTCTTTGTTTTCGGGGGTATAACGTTTTAAATATTTGATGGCGTAGTTTATCCGTGCGCTCATGGAGGGGGACAAAGTATTTCTGGAGGTTGGCCAAAGGGGAGGGAGCAAAACAAACAGGCTGAAATGAAACTTTTAAAACGCTCCTGTTTAAGATCACAAAGCAGTTTACTGCTGCGTGAATCACGTGGCGCTTTGCACGCAGAGCCTCGGAACAGAAGCGCAAACACCTGGAACCTTTCATGAAACATCCCCTTCTCCCCTGAAACTTCCTAAACTGAATTTTCCTGTTTGCATTAAGAGTTTTCAGCTCGACTCACCAAAGCTGGGCGGAAACTCCCGAAGAAATCCGATTAATATTTGGTTGCAGACACAAACAAAGCCGTCTCCGATCAGCTGCACAGATGCCGCGAACTGAAAGCGCATCAGCGTTTGAGTGGACTGGACACACTTCCTGTGTGAGCTGTTTAGCTCCACCCACACCTGAGGGGGTAAACAGCTTGAGGAAATGACGTGTACAGACCAGCGGGTGCGTCGGCTAAATAAAAAAACGAATGGAGGCAGATGGTCTTTACTCCTCTTGACCTGCAGCCCAGGAACAGCCCACAGAGGGCAGCAACTTTAACTCCACCTCACCTGTGGAGCCCTCGGATCTACCACCAGGTGTCCTCCTCTCCAGTGTTGTGCCAAAAAGCAGTTTTCGATGTTTCTGTTTATTTTTATGCCTTTGGTAACATTGGCAAATAGACTGTAGTTATTATGATTTATTACGGTGTTATAAACAGAATAAAGAAATGACCTGCAGCTCGCAGGACTTATTGTCTTATTGTACATTCATTGTAATCAATAGAGTTCATTTTTGGACGCTTAAAATATCTTTATATTACTGTGATGATCTCCTAAAAAGAACATTTTTAATGTCTATGACACTTCTTCCTGTATAAATAAAGGATATAAGAATTCACTTTGCCAAAAACAGATCGCCATGTCCATCTTTTGATAGGAATGAACTTTCTGGCCCCAAATAGCTTGATGCCATTCATGACAGATGTATCTGATAGATTATAGACCAACAAATCATTTATAACAGTTTAAATGCCACCAGTCACTTTCTGGATCTTCTCCTTCTCCCATAAAGCTGATCAATCAGATGCCTTGTCTTGTATCTTCAGTCCCTGACTCGTCTATGTTTTCCTGGACAGTTGGTGACTTGTTTCACCTCCACCTGCACTCCCAGCCTCATGTACAGCAGATACCAGCGACACCAGCAGGTAAGAGAAGTGCCGGATCTGCCTTCAGCTCTCATGAAGGCGGCCTTACAACAGACGGCTTGTATTGATTCAAAATCAACATTACTGCTTTAGACAGACTTCATTCATCTTAATAAACAGTGAGAACAACGTAACCTGCTCACTAAACAGTTCAGTCACATTTCACGTGCATCTGTGGAGTTTCTCTTCCCTCTTTGTTTTCAGCCACTCGGTATCCCAGGTGGCCGAAAACTGTCTCAGTCACACATGGAGGGGATGTGACTGAGGCCTTGCTGGCTAATGAGACCAGTGCAAACATCAAAAACAAATAAAATGCGGGGGGAAAGCTGTAAAATATCAATTCTGTGCACTCCTTCACATTTTCCAAACCCATCCAGTGGTCCAGACTGGAGTCTTTGCTGGGCCGCTTCTGGCCCCTGTGCCTTATGTTTTACACCCCTGTTGTAGACTTTGCAGACTTGAGAGAGATTCCCCGGTTCTTTATACGCCACCACTGTAGGTCAATAACTTCTGTCTTCTCTCTCCTGTATTTTGTCCCAGTTGTTGGTCTCTCGTTACTCTTCTATTTCCCTGTGACTCCCAC